CATTAAGAAGTACATTTTATGGGAAATAAATAACACATTTAAAAGGATTGCAAAATTCTTAATTTTTGATTAGGGTGGTTTTGCCCCCAGAATTTGTAGAGAACCATTTACATGATTTAAAAATTTAACAATAAAAAGTCAGTACAGTGGGGTTGGAGCATAGTGGGGACGGGGAAGTCACATGTTCATAGGAATTATGACATCTGAAAGTGATGAATTGACTTTCAATTTAACGCTTCATTACGAATGAGTAGTTAGTATGTTCAAACCAGTACAGTCCAAACCAAACATCGTATAAGCCAGCACAGTAAGAAAGTATTAAATTGAGATGCATTATAACACGAGTTGCACGATTCACTCCTAATGCATCCAATGCTTCGGTCCGTCCCATGTACACATCTATGACCTCACATAGCCTTAAGTACAAGTCCTGGTAAACGACTGCTTTGATTCGTATTCTCGTTCGGTCCAGGTTGGCGGTCAATCCTTTTCGGCCTGTACCTCCGGACTAGACCCTGGAAACTATCGTAGGACTCTCTTACGGTGGAAGCCTAGACTGAACTTAAGATCCAGCTAAGTTAAGTTCGTTAGAATTTAAAGGGGTTGCAAAATTAAAAAACAAAAAAATAGTAATAAAACTTGCACTTACCTTAAGTCCCCTTAGGGACTTTTAATATCGACTACGCCAGTTGTTGAGGTCATGGTGAAGAATTGGGGTGGTTAAAGTTGAATAAGGTTAGAGTACTTAAAGTAACGTGGATGACTATATTATTATCCAAATATGGCAATACACGACATAAGTAATAATGGAGCTCGGTGTCCACGAACATGGAAAGTTTTAAGGACCTTAGAAAGTCTTTGAATAAATTCTCTGATTGAAAATTTCTAGGTTTTTGTAATTACTTTTATGATTCTTTTTGAAGTATTGGTGACTTATAACTATTCCTATGCAATTCCAAGCAGTATTACCGTATTTAAGAATTGATTGAGTCATGGCAAAAAACTATACATAATTGATTTATCAAGTACATTCCTATACAAAAATAGTTCAATTTTCGAATTTTATTAATTAGGTTTGTTATGTAAATATCCCATTTAAGGTGCTGGTCTAATGTGACACCATGATATTTTACAATCTCAGTTTTTTTAATTAAATCACATAAATCAATTTTATATTGAAACTTTGATTTTTGTGTATTTTTATACACAAAAACTGTGTATATAATTGTGGCTGGGTACTTTTGTCTTGCGTGAAACCAACAATTTTTTTTATATCGAAATGTTATTTCAAATTGTGTTTAAGAAACCATTTATTAAAATTTTGTCTGATTCGGCATGTTGATAAGTTTATACATAGTTGTATAGGTATATCAATACATATTATATCTTAACGTATAGGATGATTCAGATAATGTTTTTAAAATATTGACCATATAATTTTCCTAAGAGCCTTACCAAACCTGACTCAGAAAATTAAATAAAAATATGTACGCATAATGATAAAACACAAAACCGAGCACAATCCAAACCAGCAAAGCAAAAGTCTAGTTAAGGAAAATAGTAAAGTAGAAAACTAGACCATTGAAACTGTGTACATTTTTTCCGGGTATTCTCGTTATCGTGTTTACAGACACAAAAAACCACAAATCATTTTAAATCCAATACCGTCTCAGCTCCGCATTGAAACTAAATAATTAGATCAAGCCAAAAAAGTATAATTTTTTTAGAATATTATGACAGTATTGTAGTAAAATGTTAAAAAATTTAAATATCATGTTGACCCATCACAATAAATTTTAAACTTAATAATGAAAAATAATTATTCAAAACTGGTTATCAACGATGAAATTCAACAATTTTATTAAATTAATCTTAATATACATTTTTAAAAAATATACAAGTACTTGACCAATAAAGTTAAAAAAGTTAATAGATATTATATGGAAAAAAAAGAGAGAACTATGTTTATACTTATAATACGTGAGTACATTTTTTTTTATAGGTTTCGCCGTCGTATTACGTCAATAAAACATTATCTGATGCATACGTCATTACAGTGAATAATTTGATAACCTACAATGAGCGAGAAATAAAATTTAGTGATCAAGAAATTACGATCCTGGCAATTCCTGTTCAGACTTATAACGACACGAAGATCCGCGATAAGGTTTTTGACAAATTTGACAAGAAAATCGAAGACATTAAATGTACTTGCTCATTAATCGTAAAAACGAAATTGGTGTACTTGGCAAATATTCTGGAAGGGTTGCGAAATGGCAAACCTATTGAAGTCGTACGGAAAGAACTAAACGTGTTAAAACAAGAAGCTGGTAATATGGTCCTGTTGTTTCAAAAGGGCAATGTTAAAGCTGGTAAATGGTTTTGGAGTTATTATTTCAAAATCATGGCGATCATTGAATACGAGGTCAACAAAGATTACTTTGAGGAAACTCCTTTCGAAGAAGAAGAACTACAAAGTGATATTACAAATTTCATAAATGATTGCAAGGATAACAAATACCTTCCCAGAAATAGAACAGAATCTGATTTGATGTCGAAAAATCCCAATGTACCAAATAACATTTTTCAAGAACTTCGAGCGTCCACAGTTATTATTGTAGATTATGTTAATGAAATGCAACACATATCGATTGACGATTTGTATCTAAGACCATTTTGGGATAATCAGGAATTATTGTTCCGTCAAATAACCGGCTCAGCCGTAGACTGGAGGCCAACGATAAGACGTCACGCAGTCGAAGTAAATAAAACCAGGGACTATATTGAAAACCGCCAATGGATATCAAAACCGTTAGGACACCTTAGTTACAACAAGTTGATTGAACAAATTATCAGTGTGAGGATTTACACCTTTCTGTGGGTTATGTTAGTAATATTTAACAGAGAAATGTCTAAAATAAATCCGTTTCATTTAAAACTTTTGTGTATTGAGTCAATGCGAACAATTGATGTGGGACACGAATTAATGCTATACACCGACACTTTTTATTTTGATGTAGTAACAGAGTTACGTTGTGCGATTAATGACAACCAAACTAACTTTGATAGTATTATAGCTAGAATTTCAGTAAGAGTCAAAGACATTTTAAATGAGTTAAACGGGTGTAAATTAAATGGAAGCGTTTGGATCAGTATTGAAATAAATGAAGAGTTTACCTATGCTATGATATTCGAATTTCTTCGAGAATTTAGAGATAACATTAATCTGTTAAAAGAGAAGATAACAATTTTTAACTATGAGCTTGCATTAAGTATTCTGGTCGAAGGAAATTGATGAACTTATCCTAATTAGATGATAGAAAAACAATTAAAAATTTATTTATAAGATAAATGATGTGTAATGTAATATATTACACCTATCTTTTTTTTTCATCTTTATTACCTCACACTTCTACTAAATACTTAATTTGTTCACGTTATTGTTATTTTAACCACTTTCTTTTTTAAATATATCTGAGTACGTTTTATGAATGTTTTTTTATAGTTTTATCTAAGACACAAATCGTATAATTATCTATTATACATGATGAATATAATTGATATAATACAGAAAGAGGACCAAATCACGTAACTAACTCACTATTGTTCTTTCAGAATAATTTTTTCATTAATTTATTTATTAATTTAAGAATTAATTCTTAATTATTCTTTTTGTATTATTTTTACATATAAATGAAATCTCTTTTAAGTTGAAGTGAAGAAAAATATCTAAATTATGTACTGTACACGGTATATTGTAATTATTTTCCAAATTTTATCTAAATTACAATAGTTACTATCTTTTATACAAATTAATAATTACTGGAATAGGAAATAAATGTAATAATTATATTTTGGACACATTTTATGAAATTTATATAGCATCCCCGATGCATTACATTTATTTAAGCAACAATATAATATAGGCATAATAGATAATTATACACAAAACACAATTGAAAATAATTCACTCTAATTGAACGATTTAAACTAAAGTAAATAAATAAATAAGGTATTGGTTTAACTAATAGTTAAAAAGTATCTGATTGACCAAATTATGTACGATACTACGATTGTGACTTACTTGTACATGAACTGTATGATGCTTAAATTTGATTAAGTACATAATTATTTTAAATATTTAAACTCTATAATGCTTAATATATTTAATATATGGGTCGAACTTAAATTGTTTAAATTTGAAAATTCTTAAGAAAAATGTACCATTTTCTTGACCTTTTTGACTTCTCATGTTTTATTAACTTATTAGGTTATACACCGGCCGCACCTGTCTAATGTTACCAACATATTGTCTGGTAGGCGGTCACACCTAACATCAGGCTGTGCGGCAACAAATGTTTAAATTATTATTTTTACATAATTATTGAAATGAAATTTCAATTTAGCATAAAGAGTAAAACCAAAAAAAAATTACATCTTCCATGTGGTATGAGGATTTCTGAACGACTCAAAAATAATTAGAGCTAAAGAAGCCAAGATTTTAAATCAATCCAAAAAAACCAAGTACATTTTTATTTCAACAATAGTTAAAAAAATTATTTTTTCCAAGATATTTCCCACAAATTTTTTTTACATTAAAATTTCTTATCAATAAGAACCTGTGCTTTTTAAATAATAGCATTTAAAATGTGTTTTTATATAACATTTTAAATAGCAATCTAGTAGAATGATCATAGAAAATTTATATTTCCTAATTGCTGTGTACCTAGCTTTTTCTATGTATGGGACAAGGTTTTCTCTTATAGTTTCAAATTCACCAACTACATAACTATTACAGTTTATAGCATACCTATTCACACAAAAATATGACGTGCTTTTAGTAAACAGTATAAAAGCAAATACAGTTATTAAATAGACTATTGTTATTTTGTCTAAATGTGTAATTTTACCAGACATTTATAATTTGTAAATACGTTATACAAACAAAACTATTTGTTGAAGGTATATCAAGTGTCTAAATCAAAATTAGGTTACCAATGTAAGCCTTTATTCCCAGCACTTAAAAAGTTTAGCTACATTACTATAGCTCCATTTTGACTAATTACTTACGTAGTAAGACTTTTTAAAAATGATTGCAAACAACTATATTTTTTGGTCACTATATTTCATACAAACAGTCAACTTCATGATGATTGAATCCACACACAAAGTAAGCATGATTTCTTTTCCACAATATGATTACACAATTATAGTTTAAAAATACCCAAAATGTTGGTAGCTGCTCCCTTCCAGCAACAGTATAAAATCAAATACGATAAGCCTGGGTTGGTGCACTTCTTTATCACCATTTGATGTTTTTTAATTTTTGAGAAGTTTCATGGATTATAAAAAAATAAATAACAAAGGCATTTCTCGTCCAACTATAAAAAAAAAGTATTATTTAAATGCCATAAGTAAACTAGACTATTTTTATTTTGTCTAGATGTCTGAATTTTATTACCCAATTATAATTTAAAAATACGTTTTTACAGACAAAATTATTAGCTACAGATGTTTAAAGTGTGTGAAACAAAATTAGGTTATTATTATAAGCCGTTATTCTCAGAACTCGAATAACTTAGCTACATCATTATAATTCCATTTTGACTAGTTGCATTTACGTAGTAAAACTTTGTCAAAAATGATTGCACACAACTTTATGTTTTTGTCATTATATTTAATACTAACAGTTAACTTTATGGTAACTGAATCAAAAGTAAAGTAAGCATAATTTGTTTTCCACAATATTAAACGATTTTACACACGTATAATTTAGAATTTAATACTGACGTCGCTTTAACTACCAAAATGCACTTGCCCCCAACGTCAACCTAACCTTTCATCGGTACAACATGTATAGAGTTGATCATCCAGACGGCACCTCTCATGCTGGCTCAGCTCTTCGGATAAAATCTTCGCTACTTTACCACGAATCACCCCCTTCCAAGAACCCCACCTACAAGCTGCAAACATTTCTATCCAATTAAGTCACATCCCGATAACCCTTTCGTCAACATATTGCCCACCAAGCCAGCCCATAACTACAGCAAATCGCCAAGCTCACTTTCACAAGTGATGTAGTAAGGGGTTCCCATAAAATGGAAAAAAACTATTGGTCAAAAACTAGATGGAAGACTTTCACTCAGATTTTCCCTAAAAATTCAAAACGACATTGATAATTCAATTTATCTATTAACAAATTCAATTGAAAAAGCCGCTTTCAATGTCTCTTCCCAACGCAAAAGTCAAACAAGGCATGGAACAAACTTTCTACCTACCTTCTTCAACTCCTCAAAGCTAAACGCCGAGCTGGATCCATTTGGGAAAATACTAGATACCCTAATGATAAAACTACTTATAGTAATCTAGCAAACAATCTAAAAAAATATAGAAATATATGGAAAAATATAGATCCCAACAGTTTACGCCCCATATAGAATCGCCTAGGGGGAGTGGACGAGTGGGTAAGGCGGCAGTGTGTTAGCGCTCACTGTCGCCGGTTCGACACTCGGTCACAGGCGCTCCGTTTGCTGGGCGAGCAATCGTCCGGTGAAAAGGAACCGCCATCCCCCTACCCGGCGACGGATTGACGACACGTCCCGGAAGCGAATTCGTCAACAAACCATCTCATGATGGCAGCATTGGGCCTTCATGGCCCGTTAAGCTACATGATGATGATAGAATCGCCTACTCTGAAAAATGGCTCCCTCTGGAGAATGTCATAAAAACGTCTAACTCAACGTATTTCAATTCCTCCACTGTTACACTCCGATGGAACGCATGCACTCTCCAACACTGAACAGCAAATATTTTTAGTGACCACCTGGGGAAAATTTTTACTCCCTACCAAACCCTACATACTCTTCCTGCTACGATGACAAAGTTATCAAATTTCTTTCATCGCCTTTACCTATGTCAATCCCAGCAAAACCAATTACACCGTCAGAAATTATAGCAACTATCAAAAATGTTCACCCCAAAAAAGCCCCTGGACATGACTTAATTCCACTACAGTAAAATAATCAGAAACTTAACAAAAAATTACGCATATATTAAACTTTATGCTTACGCTATCCTATTTTTCCCCAATCAAAAAACACTCTATAATTATCATGGTGCCAAAACCCAACAAACCCAAACGTATCGTTTCCTCATATCAACCTATCAGTTTAACTATTGGTAACCTGTGGAAAATATCACTCAATATTTCATTATATACTTGGCAAGAACATTTTATACTTTTATGTATAACAATTTTATTGGATACTATTTGTTATTTTTGTGTTTGAATTTAATTTTCTACATTGTGGCAGCTACTACAACTAACGTCTTGTAAACTAGGTTTGTGAGAAATACTATTACATAATAATAGTAAATCAACATTTTTAGTAAATTAATATTAATATTATAAAATGGCAACAAAATATTTATGTTCTTGGCCAATAAAGTTTTAAGTGTCAATAGGATCACATAAAGGGAATTTACCAAAAAAGAGAATTATGAATATAATTTTATGTAAGTGCATATTTTTTTTTATAGGTTTCGCCTTCATATTACGTCAATAAAACATTCTCTCATTCATACGTTAGTACTGTTAATAGTTTGATAACATATAATGAGCGAGAAATCAAATTTAGTGATAAAGAATGTACAATTCTGACAACTCCTATTCAGACTTATAAAGACACCAAAGACCGCGATAAGGTTTTTGAAAAATTTTATAAGAAAATCGAAGATATTAAATGTACGTGCTCTGTAATCGTGAAAACAAAACTAGCATATTTATCGAATATTCTGGAAGGCTTGCGTAGTGGCGGAGCTATAGAAGTTGCACGAGCAAAACTTAACGTATTAAAAGAAGAAGCTGGTTTAATGGTTCTGTTGTTTCAAAAGGGCAGTGTCAAAGCGGGTAAATGGTTTTGGAGCTATTATTTTAAAATCATGGCAATAATTGAATACGAAAGCAACAAACATTTCTTTGGGGAAACACCTTTCGGAGAAGAGGAATTACAAAGTGAAATCACAAATTTCATAAATGATTGCAAAAATAACAAATACCTTACCAGAAATAGAACAGAATCTGAACTGGTGTCGAAAAATCCCAATGTACCAAATAACATATTTCAAGAACTTCGCGTGTCTGTAATTATTGTTATGGATTATGTTAACGAAATGCAATACATACCGATTAATTATTTGTATCTAAAACCATTATGGGATGAAAACGAATTATTGTTCAGTCAAATAACAGGCTCAGCCATAGATTGGAGGCCAACGATAAGACGACACGCAGTCGAAGTGAATAAAACCAAGGAATACATCAAAAACCGCCAATGGATATCGAAACCGTTCGGACATCTTAGTTACCACAAGTTGATTAAACATATTATCAGTGTGAGGATTTACACCTTTCTGTGGGTATTGTTGGAAATATTCAACAAAGAAATGCCTCAAATGGGTCTGTTTCATCTAAATCTAATGTATGTGGAGACAATTCGGGCAATTGATAAGGTACAAAATTGTATGCACTATACCGAATTTTTGTTTTATGATTTAGTTTCAGCGTTTAAAGGTACAATGCACGAACGCCCATTAAATTTTGATAGCATTATAACTAGAATATCGACGAGAGTTAAAGATATTCTCGTTGATTTGAACGGGAGAAATTCAAATGGCAGTACTTGGATCAGTATTAATATAAACGAAGGGTTTGCCTTTACTGAGATATTGGAATTTCTTCAAGAATTTAAAAATAATTTTAATTTGTTAAAAGAAAAGTTATTGATTTTAAACTATGATCTCGCATTAAGTATTCTGATTGAAGGAAATTGATGCTGTTGGGAATAATGACCAAATGATTAACCTACCTTTAGTTTTTTTTTTTACTTTATTACATACTATTGATACCAGTTGGTTAGTCAAATCTTATTTGGTCATACATTTTCATTTCTATTAAATCATCTTTTATTGTTTTTATTACTTTCTTTTTAATGTGTCCGAGTACTGATGATTTTTTAAAATTGTATCTAAATCACAAAAATCATATTATCTAATTTGCATGATGATTATTTTAATATAGTAGTATTTTATTAAGTAATTTTTTAAGTGTAAGAAATTGATGTAGTAAAGGAAAATATCCAAATTATGTATCGAACTTTGCACATATTATTTCACTGTACACATTTTGTTGTCATTTTTTCCAAATTTGATTTAAAATACAAATCTTATTATTTATTTACATATTTAATGTATTATTTTCACAAAATAACATACACGAAGTCTCAATTTAACATACAAAGTATCTATCTAGTTATTATATGTTAAAAGTAATCCATTTTGTATGCGGTAGAAATCTTTCAACTTTTTCCTGAACGATTAAAAATGGTTTAATTATCAATTGTAGTTGACTACTTTTTTAATTTAAACTTATTTATTTATTTAATACATTAAATATATTAATTCAATTTTTTTAATTTTTTTGTCTTAATTAACTAAAATTATTATTTTTTTATTATTGTTTATTTCTCTTTTCTCGATTGTTTATTTTTGAACAACGATGTAATTGCTTAACTAATTCTGTTTTTTTTACCATATTTTTATAAGATGTAATTTATTGGAAGAAAACTCGCTAAAAAGCTTATAGGCTACGTTTTAAGCTTTTTTTTTTAAAATGCAATACCACAGGAAATTTGTTTGGTTTTTTTTGCCTTTGAGAGCATACCTATCCTTTCTGCATGTCCGGCAAAAATTTGTTTTTACCTTCACCGATATTTTTGCCAATTTCCTTTTATGTTGGGTATTTTACAAGAAAGTTTTTCAGTTATCAGAAAAGTAGTGTTTTCAGTTAATAATTGGAAACTTTATTGACAAAATTTGTTTTTGTATTTTTTTAGGTATTTTGCTTATGCCAAAAACTTTTTCCTCTTTCAATCACATACAAAGGAAATTGAGGTATTTTCATTTGGGGGGGGGGGGGGGCTAAAGAAAATTCTGGGAGGTCCCTTTTAGCCCCTATTTTAGCCGACTATGGCCATGCTCGTTGAATATCTAAGGCCTTATTTACATGAAATCTAATTATATTTATATTTTGCAAGCGTATTTTTGACATCGAATAGCCAAATTTGAAATAGCCAAGCTATTACTTTTCTCTTTTGTGGGATATTTTAAATCATAAAAAAGTTATACGCGGACGATATTTCAATCGACAAAAGCTTCAATACATTCATATAAACAAGTTTTTCAGTTATCACAAAAGTAGTATATTCTCCATTTATTAAAAATGTTAAGGAAATACATTTACTACCATTTAATTAATGTCATATTGAATACCTAGTATCTTTCATACAAAAACATTGATGTTAACTTATTCACTCAACATTGCAATTTCGAATTAATGAATCAAATTACTAAGAACTTCTACCTTTTATATAAAAAAAAAACCATACATCTTTTGATAATAACTAATGTTTTAAAGTTGGATGGGAAGGAAAGTGCGGTTGGGTAATGCGCGCAGATAAAAATAACACTACTTTCTACCTTTCCTCCTGCCCTAAACTTCAAACTTCAATAACTTCAAAAATTTAATAAAATATATAGGTTACCATTTAAGTTTCAAAAGTTGCTATCAAAAAAACTTAGTTGGAAGGGGGGTAAAACAAAAAAAACTGTGAAATATTGAAATTATATTGTATAAAAACAATATGAAAAAAAAAATGTATTTCTTATAAAACCCTATGAGATATTGAGTGGTTCATGATAAAAAAAATCACCCTGTATAGTACATATAGTTATACAGTAATTTTCAATTATATTTCGTGAGGGGTCTCAAAATAAAGTTTTAAATAAACTTAGAAACCACCAAAACTTTAAATTTAGAATTTGGGATTTTATAAAAAAAGTTAACTGATTGGTTTTTTGTTGCTTAGCCACGTCGCATCAATGTTTTTTCAGTTCTACGGCAACGATTTTTCTATAATAAGAACGTTACTTATTAGTTATTATTTAACTACCTAGTACTTACCTAGTATGTTTTGTTGGAATTAGATTTTAAAAATTACATTTTAATTTTAAGATATATACATGAGAGTAATTAAAAGTATGCCCTTTCTTCATGTCCCATTGTTCCTTCTCCTGAATCCTAATCAACTATCGGATAATGGTTTTCAACAAAACAAAGAAAAAGTTCTCCAAGTTTTATAATATGGTTTTTGACATAGATACGTCTTATGGCTGGCGGTCATTCTACAAATTTGTCTGAAACGTCACGCTGAATGTCACACTGGTCTTTGGTGACCAAATATATTGTACAAATCAGTAAAATGTTTAATGAGGCGGTCTAAACACAAAAGGTATATTTTATCAGTTAACATCATCTTTGAGAATACATGAAAAATATAATTGTAATTTTTTTTCCCGTGGTCATTTGCGGATTTTAAACTTAATGTTATAGTTTTAAGAACAAATTAAATTTAATAAACACTATTATTCAAAAAAAAAAAAACAAAAAATCAAAACACTAAAAAAACGCAATCCAAAGAGTTAGTACAAACACAAAACATAGACTGTTTACCAAAATCATTAATATGGATTACTATTTAAACTAGTAGATTCAAATTTTATGATAAATTTAAAAAAATTTTATGATATTATTTATGACAATTTTTCAAATTAATTTATAATATGTAGCTAATAGCTCACACCTCGGACAACGTCAAAACCTAACGAATATTCTTGAAACATTTTATGCTGTACATTTTAAAGTATAGTTTATATTTAAATGTAAACCTATTAGACATCCGGGATATAAGATATCCTTTACATATTCAGTAAAACAATACTTTGCAAGATCTCGACAGTTTTGTCGGGTTTTCGTTAACTTTATGTCATCGTCAGTCATATTATTAGGGCAAAGAGTTGTTATCCATTTCAATTTTTCTGCATCCAAGGTTTCTAGTGTCTTATCCAAACACAGTTCGTATGTCACCGGAAATATCGTGACGACCAACACTTGGAGTACATGAAAATTATAAACGTTATAATTTTAAAAAAAGTTGGAATAATCCATCTAATTTAAGACACTCATTTTTCGGAAAGAAATGAAAATTTTCTGGTTTTAAAACTTAAAATTTTTAAATGCATTAAATGTCTAATTTAAAATTTGATAACAAGCTGATTACGCTGCTAAAATGTTGTCAAATTTATGACTTAGAAATTTACGGACTTTTAAAACAGTTTGATAATATTTTGACTATTTTGAAGCTATATTTATATATGTATTAACACTAAACAGAGTATGTGATGATTATTGTAAAATCTAAAGGTCTACTTTAAGACTACGTTTCACTTAATAAAATTGAAACAATGGAATCATATATTCCAGTATTTGTGTTCGAAAAATCATAGTTTCTATTAATTTATTTAAATATATATAATAAGAAACAAATCTGCTAGTTGCTAAAATATTATATTATTACCAAATTGCGTATTCACTCTAAAATCTAAACACAATATTAGACTACCAAGGTAGTCGCATGATAACATTTTTACACAGACAAAAAAATATAAAGTAGCATAGCCAAAAGCTAGGCTTGGCTTAAATGGATCAGACGATATTGTATTGTTGTAAGAAGTACCAAATTGAAATGATTGTATTATTAAAAAATTGTGTATTGACTAAACAGAATAGGAGACAAACAAGTTTGTCCAAACTGAACTTAGCTCATTTTTTACCGACATTTTTGCCACAGTCAACTTTCCCCTCACTTCGTGCATAATTTAATTTGGTTAATGGCTATTTTTAATAATTGTTGAATCAAAAATCATATTCGTATAAAGTAAATGGAAAAAAAAAATCAGTAATTACCAAACAAGGTGGACAATTGATATAATCCTTTTTCCTTTAGACAACCAGACAAGTCTTTGCAGGCTTGGTGGATGAAACGCATGTCCTTTATAAAAACAAAACAAAAATGCATATGAAAAGCTGCACGTTAGTTCTTTTTATAATTATTAATTTTAACTAATAATGACTATAAAAGTATAACAAAAAAATAATTAAAAATAAGTTTAATATCTTTTAAGTTATTTACCCGGTATGCTAAATCGAACATAAAATACTGTATACAAATTATACTACGTTGTTTGATTGTAAAATATAATAAATGCAATAAAAGTTCATGCTTATAAAGAAATTACCACGTCGGTATCTATTCTCAATACTGCCTTTTTTAATAAAATAAACGTCAATTGAATTTTACATATTCATCATATTCCTTCCTAACCTTACGTTATGTGTCATTAATATAATAATTAGGGTTCGATGCGTGCTTTACCTCCTCTTTTGGTTCGTCTTCGCCATCGGCACCACCAACTGTCGCTTCCATTTCTCCATTTGCATTGTTACTACTAGCTGCCATGTACTTTATATATATATAAAAAAAATGGAATTTAAAAGCTACACGTCAGTTTTTGTAAAACTAATAAATTTATCATATTATTTTATCCACGAATATTGTTTATTAAAAAAAACATTTTTATTGATAACTAGATTATAGTACCTACTTACAATTAGTTTTATAATATGATAATAGGGTACGACTTTTTAAAATTTGGACAACTTTTGTCTCATAACAAAATATTATTTAAGATTCTATCTCACTCCGAACCTGATCGTTGACCATGCAACATCGTGCTCCGTTATTTCATCTAGTTATTATCAAACATCTCGTTACATTTTTCACCGTTTTTCTCGTATTAAAAAGTAATCTTTTTGAAAAAGTGCCTGCTTTCCAACGAGTTGAACATCTCATTTCTACATCACCTCTGAGCCTCATCATTGTCTTTTTGGTAATTTATTTAATTAATATATTATTAATTGCTAATACTGCCATCGCGACCGCGCTCGGACGGTCCGCTTAAACCAGTTATTGCTATCGCGCGATAAATTTACCTGTCGCCATGAACGAAAATAACAAAACAGTACCTCCGTTAACAATAAAAGCGTCACGTATACAGAGCGTGCCAAATCGACTTTCGCTTTCTTCAGATCTATCCGATCATACTGATGGACTTATTACTCCTAATAGCACTAAGCGACTCGGCTCTCCGGGCCTATCACCCAATAGTAATAAACATCAAAAAAATCAAAATAAATCAACAAAAAACGACTCTGAATTTCAAACGGTTAAATACAAATCTAAACCGATATCAACTGAATCATTAGCAGGGAAAAATAAAAAACATATAACTGTTTTTGCTTCCTCTAATAGATTTGCTCCACTTGACATCGATAATGCTGAAGACGAAAATATCGAAATAGATCAGACGGGCAACGACCTAAATGAGGAAATTGAACAAACAAAAATCAAACCTCCTCCACCTATTTTCATCCGTGGAGCATTAGATTTTCACACACTTCGAACATGTTTAATCGATATAATCGGCGCCAATAATTTTGTTGTTAAAGCAACTACCAAGAACTTAAAAGTCCAAACTACCAACTCCGACTCATATAGATCAGTCATCAAATATCTAAAAGAAAATAAGGCTGAGTTTCATACCTACCAAGCTCAAGAAGACAAACCCTTCCGAATAGTCATTCGTAATCTCCACCCTTCCACTCCAACATCCGAAATAGGCTCAGCGCTTGAAGAAATTGGGGGATATACAGTCCGAAATGTCTCCAATGTTTTAAACAAAACTACAAAAAATAAACTCCCAATATTTTTCATTGATTTGGAACCCGCTGAAATCAACAAGGACGTCTTTCATATTAACTCCTTACTAAATACCAAAATAAGGATCGAGGAACCATATAAAAGACGCACTGTTATACAATGTACAAATTGTCAAGAATATGGTCATTCTAAATCATACTGCGCACACCCTCCAAGATGTGTTCGTTGTGCCGCTTACCACCCAACTTCTTCCTGTACGAAAACTAAAGATCAGCCACCAGTTTGTGTTCTCTGTGGAGGAAATCATACCGCAAATTACCGAGGATGCCAAATCCACAAGGATCTTCAAAAACTACACTATGGTAAAAAAATTCCAAATAGAAAATATAATTCAATAAAATATGTAAATTACAGTAATATTGTTAAAGGGGGGGACGACTCCGGTTATAGAACTCGTCAGGATCCTCCTGATATTAAAAATACCTCATCTTTTCCAAACCTAACCCACCAACATCTCCATTCCAACGCTCCAAATAATACACCCCCAAATGCAACTATTAATCCACCTGAGTTTAATATAGCTACTCAACTTTCCTCCTTCATTTCTGAATTTAAATTAATAATTAACCCTCTCATATCACTACTCACAACAGTTATAAATAAACTTATGAAAGATGGTCAGTAATCAACCAAATATAAACGTACTAAAGATATTGCTTTGGAATGCTAACGGTTTAAAACAACATGATTCTGAACTGCTAAATTTACTATCAGAAAAACAAATCGATCTGGCACTTATTTCTGAAACCCACTGTAAACCAAACACTAAACTATTTTTCCCTGGTTTTAAGGTTTATAGAGCTGATCACCCCGACAATACTGCTCATGCAGGATCTGCTATTATTATTTCCTCTAAAATCCAGCATCAGTTACTCCCTATTAACCAAACCCCTACTATACAGGCAACTAATATCCAAATAACATTAAATCACACACCGATCAAAATATCTTCAGTTTACCTTCCCCCTCATCCTGCTATTACTTCGACACAACTAAAAGATTTTTTAAAATCCCTAGGGCCAAACTTCTTGGCTGGGGGCGATTTTAATGCCAAACACTCCCAATGGGGTTGCATATCCGACAACTCAAGAGGAAAAATACTCCAAAAAATCATTAACAACAACAATTACACATCCATATCGCCAAATGGTCCTACCTACTGGCCCCAACACGAAAATAGACACCCTGATATATTAGATTTCTTTCTTTCAACACTACCTAGAACTATGAAATTCTCTATTAATAACCTAAATGACCTTAGCTCAGACCACACTCCTGTCCTTCTAAAATTAAATGAAAGTCCAGAACTTAATCTTATACATCCTTCTTTATCACAAGGCCCAGTAAATTGGAAAGAATTCTCTGAAATTATGCAAAACACTACTAATCTAAATATCTCCCCTTAAATCAAAAATAGATATAAAAAACGCTGACCAAGACCTCGTAACTTCTGTACAATCTGCCGTTCACAATGCGTCATATCCAACCAGTAAACATCAATCAAATAATCATACTTTGCCTTTATATATTAAAACGTTGATTTCCGATAAAAGACGTGCACGCTCCAGATGGCAGAAATATCGATATCCTTCCGACAAACAAATATTTAATCACTTAACGAACACTATTAAAAAATTAATAATAAAACACAAAACTGAGTACTTCGAAAGAAAATACCAGTCCTTAAACTCAAAAGATGGCTCACTTTGGAAAACTACCAAAAGCTTACTTAACATAAAACAACAACTTCCACCTATAACTGGCCCAAATGGATCCTTGGCCATCTCTGACAAAGAAAAAGCCAACCTTTTCGGAGAGCATTTTTCCAACATTTTCAAACCACATACTGACGTATTTCCCAACCACGAACACTTAGAAAAGGTTAATATTTTTGTCAATAGTCCTCTTCCAATGTCATTACCTGCAAAACATACCTCACCAAGTGAAATAAAATTTTTAATAAATAAATTAAAAGAAGGGAAATCACCAGGACATGACCTCATAACTAACAAAATCCTCAAAAATTTGCCAAAAAAAACAATTGTTCTAATAACTTATATTTTTAATTCCATGCTGCGAATTTCTTATTTTCCATTAATATGGAAAATATCCACAATAATTGTTATCCCCAAACCCAACAAATCAAAAATTGAGATTACTTCCTATAGACCTATCAGCTTACTCCCAACTCTCGCCAAATTGTTTGAGAAAATTATACTCATAAGGATAAGACCAATATTACATGCCCACAACATAATTCCTAATTCCCAATTTGGCTTTAGATCCAATCACTCGACTGTTCACCAAATTCACAGACTAACAGATCAAATTTGTTCTTCCTTTGAAAAAAAACAATATTGTCCGGGGTATTTTTGGATGTGGCCCAGGCCTTTGACCGTGTATGGCATGAAGGCCTACTCTTCAAACTCAAATTGTTTCTACCTGCCCCATATTACTTAATAATTCGTTCTTATTTAGAAAATAGAAGTTATAGAGTCAGATATGGTAATTCCTTTTCACCATACCACCAAATTAAAGCAGGAGTGCCCCAGGGCAGTGACCTCTCCCCTGATCTATTTAATGTTTTTACGGCTGACATTCCAAAAACACCAAATACTATTATGGCTACTTATGCAGATGACACTGCAATACTCTCCCCAGGAAATGATCCAGAAGTTACTTCCAATTTCCTTCAAACTCACTTAAATCTAATTGATTCCTGGTCATCTAATTGGAGAATTAAAATTAATCCAGATAAATCTGTGTACGTTCCCTTCACACTAAAAAAATCTGTTCCACCCCCTCCCCAATTCCAAGGAATACTTATTCCAATATCCTCGGAAGTCAAATATCTTGGTGTCACACTCGACAAACGACTAACTTGGGGCTCCCACATTAAATCTAAAAGAAAAATTCTGAACAGCAGACTCCATTTACTACGTCCAATCCTCAAATCAAAATTACCTTTCCACACTAAAATTATTATATACAAATCCCTATTAAGGCCTATTTGGGCATATGCAATCCAAATTTGGGGATGTGCAAAACCATCCCAACTTCGTACCTTACAAGCTTTCCAATCTATCACTCTACGTATTATCTCTTCTGCCCCATGGTATGTATCAAACTGCACACTTCAAAATGACTTTAAAATAGAACTAATAAACCATTTAGCCATAAAACACTACAAAAAATTTCATTCCAAATTACACACTCATTCTAACCCTTTAATATCTCAACTTGCTTCTAATTCACTCCCCGGAAATCCACCTCGCCGACTCCGAAGACATTGGTGTCGAGATCTGTTAATACAATAATTCAAATTAATCTAACTAAAAATAATTAGAACAAAAATCACGTTGGGTTCTATTACTGGATAGCCTCCCTCCTCATATCAAATCACCGTTTCTATTTGTTTATTTTTTTTTCCCTCTCTCTGTATATATAACAATGTAACTATTTGCTTATTATGCCTTGCAGCATAGATTGTAAATACTCTTTAATAAATAAAAAAAAAAAAAAAAGATTCTATCTGTGTAAAGGGTAGATGATGTTTGAGATGTACCCTACTTTTTCAAGATACAAATAATTATGCAAATAATAATTACATAACGAATAATTGATTGACAGTTCTTAAAACGCCTTAAATTTTCTCACATTCTAGTAAACGTTTATTTTTCACATTTGTTTAAATTATCTACCCTTTTGACTAAGACTATTTCTGTTTCATAGGATATTGATGTAACTCTATAAAAGGTTGCTTAATTGCATAATATAGTGTTTAATAATCATACAATATTTTTCTTTTTTTTAGACACTAAATGCTAAATCAACTATACTGTTATTAAACGACTACATTGTTTGACTGTATAGTAAATTGAATAAAACTAATAGTATAATATTCGGGCCTACGTGGTTATTTCCAAGTTGATATGTATTCTCATTAACCCTTTTCTTTTTTTAATAAAACAAATGCCTACTAAATTTTACATATTTATCATATTGCTGTCTAACTTTGGGTTGTAAATAATCAATATGATAATCGAGTTCTTATGCTTGCTTTACCCGACTTGATGATATGGCTCCACTACCGGCACCACTAAATGTTGTATTGTTACCTCTTGCTGACATGTCCTTTTAAAAAAAAAAAATGAAACTGAAAAGCTGCACTTCAGTTCTTTTATAATCGAAAACTAAAATATACTGTATTCAAATGACTACTTTGTTTGATTATATTATAACGTTATATAGGGTGAAGGAAGGTATTTTCGTGGCATAAGCAAAATAACAGTTATTTTAACAATCAGTGTGATTTTCAAGACAATTTTCTAATAGGGAATTACGCGATACGATCAAACAAACATATCACGAAATTGCTTATGCCACGAAAATACCTTCCTTCACCCTATTATACAAGTTTATATCTATGGGTATAGTTATTAATACGTTGCTGGATTTGTTGTACAATTCGGATTGGGATAGGCTAATAGGTTCATTAATTGTTGTCGCTTCCGTATCATCACTCGAACTGGTACCACTGACTACAACGCCTAAACCAACACAAAAATAACACATGTTGTAAAAAAAAACCTTGTGGCCGTTTAATGAATTGTGTTTGGCCACACCGCTTTTGTGCGCTACCCATACGATTATACATGTTGCCCGGTAGTGGATTATTTACAGTTATTACTTAGCCAATTAAATGATGTAGAGATAAATATAAATGGGATACAAATTATGATCGAGCAGTGTGCAGCTAAAACCCGACAAATTGTAAGATGTATAAAATATATAGTTGGACTGTCAATGAAAGAGACTAAAGTGTGTTCTACCTGTGCTTGTCATAATACTAATATCACACAGTGTGACTTACCCGAGCGTAGGATTGTGAAAATCACAAAGACAAAATACAAAACGAGTTTTAAATCGATCATAATAAAGTATTAATTGAAAACTACTTGTTATGAGTAAAATGTTTTAGCAAATGAGCAACGTTAAAAACTTCAATAGTGTATTCCTCGACGACTGCAATGGTGTACAATTTTTGTAATAGCACAAGTCAAAAACTTAAAATCTAGAATTTATCGTACTGACAGCTATTCAAACAGGGGACGCCGTTAGCTGTAGCCGAAAATTGTTTTATTAATTATGTTATTCTTACAATGTAACAGTTGCTGTTTACCGGGAAAACATAGTGCGTTAATGTGAGACTATATTTTGTGGAACGAGAATTGAATTTTAATTATTCGATAAAAATGTTGTCACTGTTATAGCAATTAAATTTGAAGGTGGTATATTTTAAAAAGTACTTTACATCGACGATAAGGAGGCGTTTGACATCCCCCTCCCTCTTGTCTTTTTCTTCTGGGGTCCTCTTTGAGATTAGGGTATGAACCCTTTCATAGTTTCCATCTTCGCTCGTCCCTATTAAGATTTGGTGACTTAAACATCCGTCAAGCTTGTTTGCAACGTACCTTTTTTTTCCCCCTTTGTGGTTTTAACATTTATCCGTCATATTTTTGTTAGTACTACTATTGTGTTTTGATTTATCACTTTTCAACACAACGCACGTGTGACCTACTTTGGCACGCGCGCAAGTTCTCAGCGTCAGGGGCCGATGGCGCAATGGGAAAAAATGTTTGCGTCTTAGCCAGCACTTTTCCTATATTTTTTAAGTTTGTTTTTATTTTATTTATTTATTTACGGAATTAATTCCATTTACAATATATAATATTACAGCAGTATAGACAAAAAAGAACAGTATAAGAAAAACTTACAAACTAACAAAAACATTTTTACAACTACACACTAAATGTTGACCTAATGTCATTTATACTACAAGAAAATAAATCTAATTTTACTGAATTTGCATTAGACATTAAAATATTTACAACTGAGGATAAATTATAATTAGTACGTATATTTTTTTAAATAAACAAATCATTGTTTCTCGTAGAGTTAGACTTAACTTTACTTAGTTTAGTTTTTCTAATATTTTGATGGCAATCAATTTGATTGTTTAATAATTTAAAAAGAAAAACGAAATTTAAATATTTTCTACGATTTCTTAAAGTAGGAATATTAAAAAATCCAGAAACTCCTTCATAACCCGAATGAGGAAGTCTTTCGACATTGCATTTATAAGATAAAAAAACGTAAAAAAGAGTTTTGAATTGAATCTAGTGTTTGATTTAAAATTAAGGAGCGTGGAGACCAAATAAGTACGGCATATTCTCACTGTGGTCGCACAATAGAAAAATAGACATTTCTTAAAGCAAAATAATTATTAAAATTTAAACAACTCCGTTTTAAGAGACCTAATTTTGACGATGCTTTTATTTTTTATCTTATTGATTTGTTCTTTAAAATTCATTTTTGTATCAAAAAATACACCTAAATCATTAAATTAATTAACACGATTGATCTAAGAGTTTGTTAATTGAAAATTAAAATCGCCGTTTTGTCGCCTTCCTCTGGATCTAAGCTAGTCACAAAGCCATCTAATCAGAAAAATATCAACAATACACGCACCACCAGTAATATCTATAAACTGTCAGAAAGGTCTACCTTTCTTGAAAACTTCCAATCTCTTATCACACCACTAATTAATCTCCTCACGACTGTAATAAATAAAATTATCTTTAAAAATAACGTATAATACTAACGAAAATTCCCCGCTATCCATTCTCACCTGGAATGCCAATGGTCTTAAAAACCATAAAAAAGAGTTTCAATTTATTCTAGAAGACAAAAAAATTGTCATAACTATTGCCCCCCACACTAAATGCAGAACATCACTTCGCTACATTAATTTATTGAAAAAATAATGTTCAAAGACATTTTATTTATTTTTTTATTATTTCATAGACATTTTATATTATTATAGTAAACTTTAAACTTAATATTGTTTTGAACACTCAATACAGCTTTAGAAAATACTTATAGTTGTACATACTATAATGTATTTGAAAATATCTATCGAAAAACAGACCTGTTGTTAGCGCTGAATATGACAACATCGTTGTCGTAACACGTGTACGCAAGAAGTGTATAATTTTTATGGTCTAGGGTTCAAGTAGATTTTATATCTTTACTAAAAAATATATAGTTTCCAAAGCAACTTTTTTACAGCAGTCTCGAATTTCGTGTAATTGTGTAAAGTAATGACAATCAAAACTATTTACTTCTTCCTTTAAAACAATGAAAATAGCTGAGACTCTAGCCGTACTAGAGTTATTGAATTAGTCTAATATATTAGCATATCTTTAAAATGAGGCAATATTGTTTAACTACTTGATCACCTTTTTAGGTGATCTTCCTTGTTACAAATGTTTTTTTTTAGTTTAAATTAATTGATTGTGTTATGTTAGTTGCTCTTCCAGAAGCCGAATATATTGGAGACAATAATGAGTAAAAGACTGAAGTGGGCTGGACATGCTTGGCGTAGTCAGAATCCCTTGCAACGTATAATATTAGAAAAGGATCCAGCAGGAAAGAGGCCACTAGGAAGACCTCGTATGTGATGGGAAGATATGGTTAAAAAAGATGTAAGTGCCTTAGGTGGAGGATCAGATTGGAAGGAACGAGCATCCGACAGAGATGGCTGGAGGGAGGGGTGTTTGACGGGATGGTCCTAGCGGCCGTTTGCCCGAAGAAGAAGAAGTTATTGATTTGTCAATAAACAAATTCGATACTAGGCTAAAAACAAAATAATGGTAATGATTTAAAATTAGACAACGACTCATTATATTCGTATTGATAAATTAATTAAAGACGAGGACAAGTATCTGATTAGGTAAGGTGGCAGTGCGCTCACTTTCAACGGTTCATCATTCACAATCAGTGATAGGCAGTCTCTTTCTCTGGACATTGGACAATGGGCAGGACTGCTAAAATATAAACTTTTATCTTCCTCTGTGCCCCCAGAGGACCGAACGTAGGTAATTTAAGTCCACACCCCGTCGAAATAAGCCAGTCGGCTGCCCAACAATGGTCTTACAGTGGTACTGGTTAACTGGCACATGTGGAGTAGCAAACCTTTCCTGTTATGCTGATGTTCAGCCCTCCCCTTACGTGTCTCTCTTTTTTGGAGTAACGAGTGATGTGTTATATCCGTAATATTTACTTCCGGTCACCTGTTGATTCCTTTCCGTATGATTTACTTCCGTCAAAGAAAACGTAACGCTTTTTCTACGGTCACTTCCCACGCCAGCACAAAAAATAATATCCCAGCAGGGCGCGCAATAAACAACATCGTTCTAAAAAATTATAAGATATTTACATCAATACAAAAAACACAAGTATATTTTTATTTCAAACATAGTTTAAAAAATTATTTTTTCCATGATAATTCCAACAAATTTATTTCGCACTGAAATCTGTTATTAATAGAAACCTGTACTTTTTTAGATATGTCATTTAAAATGTGTAAAATAACATAAAATGAAATTTATTTTTATTTTATATTTCAAATAAAATTACTATAGAATGATCATAGAATACTAATGTTTCCTATTAATTGCTGTGTGGGCATCTTATATATGTATTAGGCAATAGTTTTCTCTTATATTTTCTAATCTCACCAACTACACAATTAGACCCTAGCATTATTATAGTGTGTAGTATATACACACAAAAATATGACGTCATACTTTTAGTAAACAGTATAAAATCAATTATTATTACTATTTTGTCTAAGTGCGAGATTTTATCAGACATTTATAATTTGTAAATACGTTAAACAAACAAAATTAGAAAACGGATAATGTTTCTTGATATATGAGCCTTTTTGTGGTCTTTCATAAACTCGAGTAGCCCGAGTGCATATTTGACAAGTACTGATATTAGTTATATCTACTTGATTTCTATGATTTTGCTAAATGAGTGTTATTATGTTTTTACGTCGAATTAAAGAAGAAAATATAGACCATAGTAAAATGCCAAAATTATGTTTTTTAGAACAAGCTTGTGCCGTTTTCTGTTATGACTACAGTAATGTGTTTGGATATTTGTTCGGCATTTCGGATCGTAGGAATGAAAAAAAATTACAAAATGTTGTATATTTTTCTATATACAGAATAATAATTAATATTTTTTTATAATATAGTGTTTTTTTAATATGTTTTTACATAATATTTCAAATGACATTATAATTAAATGATCATAGAATAGTAATGTTTCTAACTACTGTGCGAGCATCTTATCTATGTGTTACGTAATGGTTTTCTCTTGTATTTTCTGATTTCACCAACTACACAATTAGACTCCAACACTATTACAGTTTAAAGTATATCAACACAAAAATATGACGTCATGCTTTATGTTAATAGTATAAAAGCAAATACTGTTGTTTTTTTGTCTAAATGTGTGATTTTACGAGACATTTATAATTTGTAAATACGTTATACAAACAAAATTATTTGCTAAAGATGTTGCCAGTGTCTGAAACAAAATTAGGTTACCAATATAAAAGGTTATTTCCAGTACTTGAATAGCTTAGCTAAATTATTATAATTTAATTTTGACTAATTGCACTTACGTAGTAAAACGCTTTAAAAATGATTGAAATCAACTGTATTTTTTGGTCATTATATTTCATACAAACAGTCAACTTCATGATGATTGAAGCCCCATACATAGTAAGCATGATTTATTTTCCACGATATTAAAAATTAGTTTTTACACTATTATAGTTTAGAAATTCCCAAAATCTTGCTAGCTGCTCCCATCCAGAAATAGCAAATAATATAACATTAAATACGATAAGCATGAGTTTGTGCGCTTCTTTAACTCCGTTTGAAGATTTAAAATTGTTGAGAAGTTTCATCGATTATAAAAAAATAGATAATTAAGGCATTTCTCATCCAACCTTTAAAAAAAGGTATGAGGTAAATGCCATAATTAACGATGAGTAAACTTGACTATTTTTATTTTGTCGGCCAATTATAATTTATAGATAACATAGAACAAGCAGAAAGGAAACTATCCAATTTTTACATGGGCTCTTA